ACCCCTACCATTCTGTGATTCTATGATTCTGTGAAGCAAGAGCAAAATGCATCATTTTCAAAATCTTGCTCTTGCACTTTATAAATTAACTACAAGACAAGCTGAAATAAGCCACTAATTTCTAAATTAAAACTAACTGGGAGATACTATTATGAAATGTAACTTTTACTATAGCAACCACAAGCAAGATTTCCGATGTATTAATAAACAAACCTGTTGTAAATTGGCTTAAACACTCAGCTGCACCTGGTTTTGCCTAATGAAAATGTTCCCTCTGCCCTTCTCTCATGCTTGGGGATCAAATGAGAAGTTAGTAATACCACTAATGAAACCCCAAAAGAGTAAGTTTTCTTGTATTTCACATTCAAGAATTGGAAACAACAAGAAAAGATGTACAGTAAGTCATTCCAAAAGAAATAAATTACTTGTCAGGTAGACAGGAGATAATTAATTCTTATTAATTCATTCCATTACAAAGATGTGAGTACATTCTGAAAATTATCTGTACACTGTAGACACACATATTCTCTAGTCATTAAAAACTGGCACCACAAGCGCACAAATGTCATGTCTTCCATTACCATTTAGTTCCAAGTCACTGTGCATTGTACACTGTACACAAACTCATCTAAATTCTGGCGTGGTGCAAATTCCATAAAAGAGGCAATAAATAACCCCTGTGTGGAAGGACAGCAGTCACAGCATCCCCTTTTTTCCTCTCTGCTGGGACTTAAACATTTTCATTCCCAAGCAGTGAACCTTTCTCTGCTGAAGAGGACTATATAACTTTTATTACTGAAGAGACAAATCTAGTTATCCAGGACATAAATAGAATTAAGTTTGGAATATTGCCAGCACATTGTATGTTTCATATCACTCTCTAGAGTGATGTAGATTTTCTACTTCTTTAAACCCCTCTTTTTCCTGACTATTTGTACTTTCTTACTAATGTTTTATTGATGGTAAAAAATGCCATTCATTCATCTGCAGCAGTTAACTGTCGGTGGACGACAGCCCTTTACATCCTGTCTTGCTACGAATACTCACAGGGGTTATTGCAAATTTGCTGTGCTCATTGCCTGTGTGGTGCACAGCCAATCCCACACAGAGTGAAAGCTTGTGTACCTGTCTGACTCTAAATTCATTTTTGAAAGTTTTCACTAAACCAGCCGTGAGTATTAAATATACTTTAGACTTCAGTGGAGGAAAAGAATTTATGAGAACTACCTCTGAAACTCATGTCTATTTTTACTGCCTGTAATCTCTTTCCGTTCACATTATTTCCCCATAGACCAAACTCACTGCTCATCAGCACTTCTGTTATCCCAGAAGATCTTAATTTCCTGTAACTGTGAAGGAAGGTGAACATTCAGTTGGCTGGAGGAGAAACAGAAAATGATCTGGGAGCTAGGGCATTAGTTATTCTCGAGTGATTCAAGACACTAGCTGAGAGTCACGAGGTCAAGAAAAGTATACATCAGCTGCAATAAACAAAGTCCTCATTTGTCCAGGCAGCACTGTCCCAGACCCCACATCTGCAAAGGTTATCAGAAACTCAATCCAGGAAAATCCAACGTCTTGCAGAACCCAAACACAAGTCGCTAATTAAGGAAGGGAGGCCCTGGGTGACTTCAGCCCCTTCCAGCAACTTGGTGCAAGCCCACATGTTATTTTGCTGTACTCATACTGCAGCGGTAGTGCAGTGACAATGCCAGTTTTTCCTGAAGATTTGCCACCTGTTGTCCCCACTAATGCAGATTTGCTTCCTGAAAAAAAATCATATAACACTATGTCCCACAAAGCAATGTATGTGACCACTTGACTCTTTCAGAGCACTTACATGAGGGCACTACAAAATCACACATATCTCTAAGAAATTGCAGTAATCTTGCATTTTCTAGAAAAGCAGTGAAAGAGAATTCAGGGGAGTGCAGGCAGGGATGGAAGTGTCTACCTCCATCCACCTACCACCAAGACCCATCCTTGGTGGGCTTTACCTGCTGTGGACCGAGCAATGCAAAGCAATGTTGAAACCTCTGGCTTCTCCTTGTGTTTCTCTGATGCCAAATGCCCTTACCAGCTGCCTTCCCGGAAAGCAGGGACACTGCTTACTCCATACACACATCACCTCTGCTCTGGGACTTCGCTAGGGAGAACAGATAGCTGCTGTCAGGCAGGGGGATGGACTAGTTACTGCTTACATTACAGTGTAAAACAACCTTAATCCAGCACTGTGACTACAGAAAGATAGATGGTCTCTGAACTTGTATGAACACACAGCAGGTCAGGGAGAGATGGCTATTCAAAAGCCTCCAGAATTATCTGAACATCAACCGAGGACAACCAAGAACTGTTCTTCAAAAATCAGCAAACAAAGAAAAAGCAGTTCATTTGTAGACACAGCTTTAAGGAGGACCTCAAAATAGAAATAACAGACCTTATAAGGAAAATATATAAGGATGGCCAGAAACTACTCAGGAGCTGACAGCTGCTGAGCTAACAGAAAAATATTATAGAAGCTTTTGAAGACAAACTACATAAACTACTACTAACCATAGAAAAAACACACCTGTAAGAAAATGAAACAAAAATAAAATGGACATCTCAGCCAATTTATGATTCACTAAAGAACGGGACACACAAAAAAAAGTCAGAAACTCCTCTGAAATAGCACTGAGTGCTTTCTAAAAATTCTACCATAACCTCAAGTCTGCTGCTCAAAGTCCAGACTGATTACTGAGCACCACATTACACAAAGGAACAAAGTATTGCAAATTGTAAGGACACAGCTAAACAGCTCCTGCTGCTAGACTAAGCAAACAACTGTATCGACCACAAGGCATACATGATTCCCATGCTCATCAAAAAAAAACCCAAAAAACCAACAAACCAAAACCAAAGTGAAAAATCAGCTCAAACTTAATGCAATTTTATTTACCATGCACACCACGATTTTTCTTGGTTTCCTGGAGTATATTGCACATCTTGCTGAGGTTACTTCAAGATTAATGTACATTAGTGTAGATGTGTCTTAGCACATCAAGCAAAGGGTAACACGTACCTCTGTGCACTCCAGGATTCCCCAGACCTTTGTCACCTAGACAGTGATTCTGAACTTTCCCAAAGTTTTTCAAGTGGATTCCAGAGTTTGCCTTAACTTACCTTCAATTCTTAGTTTTCTCCAGTGACAGCAAAGCCATATGGTTTAAACATCATTTTCCAAATTTTCATCTTGTGCTACCAGCATTCTAGCTAGACTGCTACAGTACAGGGATTCACCCTTGCAGCAGTACAAGTGGAGACCTGCTGCCCCTGGCACTCTCTGCCAGCCAGACTCCTGATGATTTCCTGAATTCAGAGGTAAAAGAGATCTCCGTGAAACATTTCAGAGGAGTAAGTTGGCGGGGTACCATAAAGAGCAGTCTAAATTTAAAAGATCAGATCAAGATGAAAGATAAAAGAGAGGATGTTTGTTATTTACATTAAACAAAACAAATCCTGTTCTGCTTGCCAATTTTTAGAACTGTCTATGGAAAAAGTTGTCATTCTAGGAATATCCTTGAGTCACACTGCTACAACCCCTGCTTCTGCAAAGTTTAAAATTCAAATGACAAACCTAAACTTCCTCAAGCTTCCTTCCTGAAACTTCATTAACACAAAATGCCATCTAAATGATCAGTGTACAGCTGCTTTGGAGAAGAAAAAATGCCCAAAAATGCTGATAAAATTCCAAACATGAAGAGGCATATCTTGAGAAGATTGACGATCTTGCAGATCGAAACGTGGGGGATGAACTAAGCCTTTTGGAATAGGGGAGCAGCTACGCATAAAATCTATAAGCTAATAATTTCAGGATAAGGTTCCCTAACTTCACTCCAGTCCTACTGGGGACAGAAAAACTCTGTCTCTGGCTATGACTCCAGTTCTTTGTGCCACACTGGTAATGAGGAGGCTAATTCACCTCTACCTTTGAGAAACATGGCTATGAATTACACAGAACATTTGGAGAAGATTCCATACTAGTAATATCAACGAAGATAACTACATCCTTTTTTCATGATTGTGTACTTATTACCTGCAAAATACTTTTGCATACTTTCTGTACTAGTCACTGTTCTAACTCTTATACCTTTTGCCTGACACTGCTGTAACACGCTATAGGAAACATTGGGACTGAAAATTCAAACATAAAAACCGAAAATCCAAATTCAAAGAATTATAAAAGAATCTG